TACATGCTACTAGACACATATAAGTAAATTATACTTACATGTAAAATTATACTTATACTGTAATATTAAATTACAATTAAAAAATAAAAATATGAAAAGAAAAATAGAAGGTGAAGAAAAGGAAAAATAGAGAAAAGAAAGAGAAATAAGAATATATTAAAGAAAAATATACACAAATAGAGAGAGAGAGAGAGAGAGATGACTTCCCCTTCATCGTAACAAGTACATACAAGTTTAGTAACTTGTTACTTGTTCTTAAAATACAAAAAATGATTTCCCTACAGTATATCCCATCTCTTATCTATAAACAAATCCTTGTCACTCCAGGGAAGAAATAGTGAACTAAAAGACTTCAGAGGAAGAAATGGCAAATTAAAGACTACAGTGGAAGATCAGTAGACTGACTCTAATACCTCTCCAGACAATGAGAAGACTTGAGATCAACCACAAATGCTTCAGACAGTTGCTCCTCACGAGAGGAACAGCAGTCTCCAGCAGGTTTAGATCTCTGGGGACATGACATTGGGTTCGCATACTTCCTTTTCTAATCACTTTCAGAAATTCCTTGTTAACTGTTTTTCAGCTGTTAGGAACCTTTGGATTGACAAGATTTATAGCACCATGTGAGTTTTCTTCAATCCTTAGCAAAATGTACATTTAAAGACTTAAAATTCTTTGAAACAAACAGCAAAAGGGCAATTAGAACTTTGGTTTTGGAATCTGGATTTTGGAAAGTTACGAATGGACTAAGAGTCCAGTTGGATTTGAAATTGTTTCAAATTCTTTAAAAAATGATAGGAGGAGATAGGAGGAGACTTAGATGATTTGATGCTAGAGAGAATCAGAAGGAAATAGAAGGAATGAAGATTACAATTAAAAAAACTAAAGATTAAGATTATTACAAATAAAGGAAAGAATAATACATCCACCTGCCCAATCAACTAACCTATTAAACTCCTGAATGGACACTCAGAAGGAAACCATTCTCAACAACATACAGAAAGGTAGAACTGAGATGCTTCAAAAATCAAAGATGATTGATTTTTACTATATGGCATCAAGTTGATTTCAATTCTACACCCACTTAAAATTACATGGGGATTTTCTAAATGCATATCAAGTGCATTCACAAAGGAGGCAGGCAAGGCAAATGGCACCTGTATCACAATGTAAATTCTGTTCTTGTGTGCAACATCATGATGTAAACATGATCAGACAGTTTATCTCATTATATCACATAGCACACTTTTCTTTGTTTGGCAATACTGTGGCTAAGTATGAAAATTATGTTTAGTAGAATGATAAAGGGAAACGGACTATGAGTGATAAATAGAAGAAAATAACTGCAAGAAAACTATAAGGAAAAAAGAAAAAAATTATATGCACAGAAATGCTTGTAACAATAAAAAGGCACTGAGTTTTAGAGATTGCTATTGATGCAAAATAGATTTTAGCTATGTTTCTTTTTATTAACTCATGCCTTTGTTGGTTCTCTTATTTCATTTCTGTGCTTTTCTGCATAACAGTCCTTACCTTGAGAGTGAATAGTATGATGGATATATAACATGATGGATAATGAAGAAGAACTTGATTAGAGATGCCAAGTGGGAATATGTTTAATCTCCATTTATCATTTAGTATAGAGGACTTTATGCTCTTTAGACTCACAGTAGTAATGACAAGGAATATTTTTCACTAACAGCACTTGAGTCAAGTTGCTGTTGGTGTTTTACTGTTCAACAGTAGGTATTATTTATTTTACTCTTTGTATAGTTTTAATTGCAGCATATCTGAAACTTGGCCAAAGCAAGATAAAAGAACACAAAGAACTTGAACAACACACAAAAGCTTTGGTATACATTTTTTCTCAGGTTGAGAAAGATATTGTTTACTAGAATCCAAGTGAAATACAGTAGCACAATGCCAGAACTGAAATTCGTTCACCAAAATACCAAGTGTAACTTTTCTTTCACAAAAGTGCTTCCCATAGTTGGTCCTCTCATGTCCATTCAAAATTAAAAGAGATGTTTTCAGAACGGTCTCCTAAGGAATGCAGCTGTGCTCCGTTCCCAAGCAGTTTTCCTGTGCTTGGAAAGGAACAGTGAACTTTCATTCTGCTGAAGCATACTCTACTCCCCGCCCATTTGGCCCCCAGAATTCATGGCAGACTTGTACCAAAAGAAATTCTCGAAGCATAGTAACAGAATATTGAGGTGACATCTGATATCCCAATTGTTTTCCAGAATGTCTCTGCAGAAGTGGAGATATGCTGTTTAGACTCCCTAGCAGAGGCAGAAACTCATCTCGTTCAGCTCCTTCTGCAGTAGTCTTAACCAGTAATCTTTTGTTTGATTCAAGTCCTCTTTCACAATGAAAGTCTGTGGTATGGTGATTAAAGGATAGGTCTAGGTTCTGGGAAAACCTAGATTCAAATCCAACTTAAACACTAACAGGAAACTCATTGGGTTAATCTCCCTCAGCCCAGCCTAACTCATAGGACTGCCATTGTATGAACAAAACAAAGGGAGAACTCCAGATAAGTCCCTTAGGAGACAAATCTAACAAACCAAATAATAAATTGCTTCTTCATAAAGAGCAGCATTTCAGCATGCTTGAAAATAACATTTTCATTCTGGCAAAACCAGACAGTTGACAGTATAGACTGATAATTCATTCTAAATTTAACATTAACATCCAGCGAAGAATCTATTTCTTACAAACACAATGCTTGCATGGTATTTTATATAACAGGTAATATAATACAAATAAGGCTGTAATCCTACAGTTGTTGACAAATGACCCATTTTCTGCTTGTTTTGCTTGAAAAAGATCTATCTGCCCCTCTCTGCCCATCACGTTGTCTTATTAATCAACTGGTGAAGAGTGTATATGGGATACCCGTTGAACCATGCTTCAAATCTGTTCTCAAAGACATTTTACCTAATTGGTTATGCAAAATTTACATGAGATTGAATTTCATTTGGCAGAAAAAAATTTCCAGGCAATTCTCCCTGGCAATGAAATTGACAGTGACACGTGGCAAGGGGGGCATATTCTTTGTCTCACAATATCTTTCCAATAATAGAAGGAATTCTTTGTCCTTGCTGTCAATATCATCTAGCCAAATCTAATTGGATATGAGTTTCTATGATGTCATCATGTTTCCTAATGGTATGTTAGCAGTGGTGGGATTCAAATATGTGAACAACCGGTTCTCTGTGTGGATGCCACTTCCGGAAGTCCATTCTGGGCCTGGGCAACAAAAAATTAGCTACCGGTTCTGCCGAACTGGTGCGAACTGGCTGAATCCCACCACTGTATGTTAGGCAGGCCACTGTCTTTTATACTCGATTTGAATATCTGCCCTTAGTGGAATAATACTAATGTAATTCTCAGGGTTCCCATAAATATCATAGGTACTGTGTTATAGTGATCAGGTTTAGGTGCATTTTAAGTCACTACTCTCTTTCAGTGCAATCTACTCCATGCAACTATTATTGTGAGGGGGAAATTCAAGAACAGAATAGCATGTATACTATGGGGAACTTCTTGGACAAATGGATATCACTCTAGTGAATACTACAAGTCATACAAAATAACTGAAAGTACAGTATAAATATTATTGTAATAGAATGTGCACAACTGAGGAGCAGTGAGAGACAGTTTTGGCAACATCTAGCTTTCCCAAAGAGAGGCCCAGATTAAGAGACGGAGCAGTCCTGAGCTGAATGGGGGAGGAGGAAAGAAGTTCAGGGTATATCTAGTAGGCTATAATATAGCTTACGTCTGATAAGATTATGTCCATTAGATGTAAGCAAATAAAGGATTGAACTCAATTGGATTTCTCAGTGTTGTTTCTGGGCTTAGGGTTGACAATTATGTTATTATAGCTGTTGTGCTCTCTAACTAGCTTGGGTTCTAAACAAAAAAAATGGATTATGTTCAAGCGCAAAAATACAGAAAGCAACTTTTTCCGTCTTTTGAAATTCATTTTTTAATTTGAAAATTAATTCTTGTACTTACTCAGAAAAAATATAGACACTAAATACAGTGAGGCTTATCTGCTGGTAAATTACAGAATGCATGTGATATATATTGGTATAGAGACAGAGACATAAATATACACAAAAGAGAAGACATACCAATGCCTTGTTGTCACACTGCTGATTATTACATCACTTCACCATTTTTTTAAAAAAAATAAGAGCGGTTTCTAAATACCAGAGTTTCCCAAGCCAACATTCATGCCTTACAGCCTTTTGTTTTTGAAAATAATCGACTCACCAGAATCTTTGTAGTGTAAGCACTGTTGATGGCAATTGCATTAACCAGCAAATCCATTGTTTTGGCTGGAATAGAATCTGGGTCAGGGATCTCTTTGTAATGGACATCTCCAATATAGGCTTGTACCACTGTCATTCGGTTAGTTGTTAATGTCCCTGTTTTATCAGAGCAGATGGCTGTAGCATTTCCCATAGTCTCGCATGCATCTAAGTGACGGACCAGGTTGTTATCTTTCATCATTTTCTGAAAGGGAAAGCATACAGATCAATATTTCATTCTTATAGAATGCATAATCATTTAAAAATAATTTTATTTTTAAATTTTATAAAATATTAGTGTAAGACAATAACTTTATATAAATTAAAAATTAATGTGTTAATATTCATCAATTATATTTATTATTGATAACAGTCATATATGCTCAGGTACATAAAATTCATTTGCATTCACTTCCTGAAACTGTGAAATTAATATGACTCATATATATGCCAAGAGCCACTCAACAGTGAGATGGGTGGCACATACATTTAATAAATATAAATAAATAAGTAAATAAATAAATAAATAAATAAATAAGATGATTTTGAAACTTTTCAAGAATATGAGGCAAAGAATTCTACAATATTGAAAAAAGGAAGACATAAAGTGGCTACCTATTCATTGCCATAAAGTGTCAATAAATAATTATAAGTTGCCTCTTTGATTATTTCTAGCAAATAGTCTTCACTAGAGTATTAGTTTTATGTTAACAATTTCTAATGAAAATTGTTCCTTTACCAACATTATTAATTTAATAACCTTTCTCCAATTTGTTACCCTCATGATGCCCTGAAATTAAGTATATGTAACACCCAACAAATATTAGTAAAATTATGAACATAATATAGAAAGAAAAGGAAAGGAGATGTATTCAATGAGAAGATTTTAAGTGAATGCTACACAACTGAAGAAGCTTGAGAATAGGAACCAACAATGGAAGAGCAAATCATTAAGGAATTAAAATGGGAAATTAGGTAAGATTTAGTAAATTGATCAGACTTTAAATGGGACTTCATGCAAAGTAATATTAACAATATTAACTGGCCTTTGTCATGCATTCTCTAAAAGTCTAAATTACTGGACGTTAGATCAGATGGCAACAATTTCAATGGTGTAACTCTATTATGTAAAGAGGGACATCCTTTTATCTCCTTGCATTCATATCAGAGAATAACCCTGAATTCTAACCTTCCAGGGAAAGAGAAAAATTTATCTCCATCCACATCTTCCATGTTATGCCTTATTTCATGTATCTCCATTAGATAGCACCTAGAAAAAGCCCCAGATGATAACCCATCATTTTATGTATCCTTTTTTGTACTTTATCCAGGTCTAGAAGGGTTTTTTTTATGTGCATAACCAAAACTGTACATAGAATTCCAATTACAGTCTCATCATAATTTTACATAATGGCACTAATGCATTGTCAGTTCTATTTTCATTTGTCTTCTTTTGAATTCCAAGTAAGGAATCTATTTTTAAAGCAGCCTGGGTTGACTTTTTCATCTCACTCTTCAGCATGATTGCATGCTACCAGCTTAATACATTTTAGATTCCTTGAATTGGAAAGTTAGGATTTCTAGAGCTAACAGAATGTGGATACCCGTACAGGGATCAAACAATATTTCAAAGGTTTTGCTGCACAGACCTGAGAGCCTGCTTATGTCAAACTATTTAGCAAAGACAAATCAAGTTAAGTACAAGTATGAATAGAGACAGCAGCTGGCATAATATTAATTTAGCAGGTTGTTCTGTAAAGAAAAAAAGCCTCAGATCAGAATGTACCTTCAGATCTCTCTCTCTCTCTCTCTCTCTCTCTCTCTCTCTGTTTAAAGGTATATGCACAGAAAGTCACTGAAAGTAATAATATAACAACAACAATATATTCCACGACTCTACATCATTTGTTTCCTGCCACAACTTGTCAACCACTTCATAGTATCATAGAGTTGGAAGGCCCTTAGAGGGAACTGATTCAAATTAATCACTGGGGGAGTGATGTTCCAAAACGATAGAAAAGGAGACAGAACATGTCTTTCTTGCCAGACCTAATGGATGGTTAGACATAATAGGAGAGAAATGTTCCCTATAACCTGGGCACATGTCTTGAAGGGCTTTACACCTTGAATTGAACCTGAAAGCAGACTGGCATCTGATGCAGCTTGTAGAACAGAGATGTAATATGCACTGATTGAGGAGCGTATATAACAGCCTAGGCCACTGCATTCTGTGACAGCTGCAGCTTCCAGAGACTGCTCAAGGGCAGCCCCATATAAAGTGAATTGCAATAGTCCACTTGGGAGGTAATTAAGGCATAAGTGACCATGGGCAAAGCTCTCCCATCCAGGATCAGGCATAATTGGAAGACATCATTGGCTAACAGTTCATACAGATTGGAAGTTCCTCTTGAGGCCTAGCCTGAATCTCCTTCCCTGACATTTTAATCCAATTGTTCTGGTAATGTTCTTTAGGGAAATAATTGCACTCTTATGTGTGATAGTCCTTCAGATATTTCAAACTATATTGTCTCTGTAAGCCAAAGAAATCCAGATCCAACCTTGCATAAAATATATATGTCAGGGAAACCTGCAATGTAAGGAAAAGAATTCTATCCAAATCAATGTTTTTTCAATTACATCTTAAATCTTTATTTAATGTTGAGAATTGTGTCAGCTGCCCTTTTTTCTTCCCTACTTGACTATATCTGTACAATAAAACCATCAAGTTAAACAGTCATAATATATGGCATTACAATACTGATTTTTTTTTTAAAAAAAAGACTTCTTTAAAAACCCTCTTTTGTACAATTAACTAGTGGAACAGCTTGCCTTCAGAAACTGTGGATGCTCCATCATAGAAGGATTTTAAGAAGGGATTGGACATCCATTTGTCCAGAATGGTATAGGGTGTCCTGCTTGAGCAGGGGGTTGACTAGAAGACCTCCAGGGACCCTTCCAATTCTGTTATGTTGTTACTGTTACTATCTATCCCAAAACAAACTAAAGAACACAGAGTGAAATTGCTAAGTGGACAGAAACAGTTTCCTGCGAGCCTTCAGCTTTTGTTATGGCCAGAAACTGGGCTATGAAACTGGGCTAATACTGAATTATCTCCTGTCAAAAACTTTCAGGCCACATGGACTTGGACAAGAAAAAACTAGCCAGGAGAACAAAACAGAGATTTGGGGCTTAGAATCCTTGAAGTAGAATCTGACTATTTTCTGAATACATTAGAAAAATTAAGCAAATATTGGCCATTGTGCAGCTTTTTACAGCATGAAATAAAACGCATCAAAGAACAGGAGACACTCCAGCATTCAAAACAAATTGTCTTCCCTCCCCACCTGCCTTCAAAACCTCTGTAGGAGCTCCACTAACAGTTAATGGCAATAGTAGAGTACAAAGTGTGCTTATCACAATAGCAAGTGCATACAGCTTCAGTAATAACATCTTAGCTCTGTAAGTAGGTAATACTTATTCTCCTAATGAAAATCTTCATTATCACTTCTTTGGCCTTAAATATTTAACACTAGCTCCTGTTCCAACCAAATACACAAGTATAGTTTAGTTTAGTTTGCTAACAAAATAGCATTGTTTTGAAAAGATTTATT